GATGGTTTTTACCGGGCTGACCAAGCCGTCAACCCGGGCTGGGTAATAAGTGGAGAGAGGGAGGGAAAGAGAAAGAAGAGGAAAAGAAAAAGAGAAGAGAAAAAGAATAAAAAGGAAGATATCATAATGACCAGACTCATAACACCCATGCAACCCCTTCTCCACTTCAAAAACTGTCATAACTCCTTTGATCTATGCTGCCCGATGGCGTAACAACTGGGGGACAAGAAGAAAATATCTATCTTTGAAAAATCTTCCCCAACCCTTTATAAATGCACTTTCATCCCCTGAAAGTGCCTAAAAACCTCAAATTTCGCTCGCATTTCTTGTTAACATGGCCCAATTTCCTCTAAAAATTGCACATTTTAGGGAGTTTCGATCAATTACAACGAAATTAGAATTAAAAACACCGGGGGACAAGGGTAAAATATCCATCTTTGGAAAATCTTTCCCCACCCCTTGACAAATGCATCTTCTGAAAGTGCCTAAAATTCTCAAATTCTTTGCGCGCATTTCTGGTTACGGTAGGCCAATTTCCTCTATAAATTGCACATTTTAGGGAGTTTTCTTTAATTCCGACGAAATTAGAATTAAAAACACAAAAATATTTTGCGCGCTTGGCGTGCATTTTTTAGGGGCTTTTTTAGTTTTATCCTTTAAGTTATTTAAACACATAATAGTCCCAAACTCAAGAAAGACAAATTTAAGATAGATCATTTTAACCTAAAAGAAGGGCCTCAATGTGTATAGATGGTGAAAGAATATGTTTGTAATAAATAAAAACCATGATGAGAATGCTTATATTTAGTTTCAAACACACGTGTGTGGCCTATATTATAAATAAGATAAGCCCTATGTCGTATTGTTTTCTATATGCGGAGTGGGGTGGGTTGGTATGGTAAATTACTAACAGGGAAATGAGGATTGTATGTTATTATTATTATTATTATTATTATTATTATTGTTATTATTATTATTATGTTGTAATGATGTTGTTTGTACTGTTCTTTAATTTTATTAAAGAAAGCCCCTGAATATTAGTTAACCTACTGGGCTAAAATCGAAGGGTTACCCTCTTTGAAGATGGTTGAAATAAAAAATTTAAAAAATATATACAAACTCTGACCCAAGACCCTGTTACGCGCCTGGTGTTAGCGCCAATGTGTGCCCTTGTGCGGACAGGAGATGTGCCCTTCTCTGAAACTGGAAACCTTGTTTTTGCAAAATAAATTGATGCAATTTGCTATTATAGGCCTAATCAATAAATTCCTCATCAACCGATATAACCTTAAACATTCTTAGAATTGACATAACATTACTGATGTCGTACACACCCTTCAGTGTGAAATGTGGCTCTCTTTGCAAGAACATCTAACATCTAAGGAAAGAAGAGCTTAGATTGGTACCAGATAAAATAATTTTGTTATCAACATTAATACATTATGCTAATTTTCATCTTTGTAAGCGCATAAGACAGTGCAAATTATTTCTGTGACAGTCTTTTTAAGTGTGTAAAGTTCCATTTTATCCCATACATAGTCAAAATATTGGGGGGGGGGGGATATGATACAATGGACCATCCCCCCTTGTCAAATATTGGGGGATATATCCCCCATCCCCGGGATCTACGCCTATGAGTACGGGCAACTTAAATGTAATTCTTACAGGAAGCCAATGTAGATCATTAAGGATGACGTGTACAGTAATGTGTTGTTAATGTGTTGTATTCAGGCATGCCGCCGAGTTTTGAACTTTCTGTAATTGGTAGATTAGGAATTCAGATGATGTGAATCTTATTTGATAACTGATTTTATAATAAAATAAATGGCCCATGTATAGTTCTAACAGGAATCTACTTCCTTCCTGCACAGAACTGGTTTCCAATGATATCATGGGCATAGCTCAATTCTCCACTAAAAGACTTCAACACACGCTAATCAAAATATATAGTTACACTGTACTCTTACAAATAGGGACTACAAATGGTTCAAAGCATTAATGTTAATTGTGATTGTGGGTTTCTGCATTTTGTATTGTGATCTAAAACTTAATGAAATTTTACCATTCCGTTTGACCACTGGACCCTCTCCAAAGGTCATAAGTGGCCTCATTATTCAGACCTTTGTTGGACTTTTTTGAACCACTGTGGACCAACATGCTAAAGTCCCAAATGCTAAAAAACTAGGAAATACTACAAAGGCATACCTTCATAATTATACACAATAAAATGTAAAGATGATGACTATGATTTTAAAGATGTGCTGTCCCTGAAAATAAACAACAAATCATAATAAATAAGAAATGTGTACCCTGATTTTTATACAGGATAATGATAATAATCAACACTCTCTAGTGACTGGAAGTGTTTCCATAATTTTCACTGTAAAATTATGGGTAAATATTTCAAAATACACTAATTTCTATGTTCAAGTTGATAATTTTTATGTTACTAAAATGAATGAGTTAATTTCGAAAATGTTTTTTTTTATTTATTTATTTTTTTTGTGTGTTTTGCATGTGACAATACATCTTTAAGTAGTACAGTATCTAATAATAAAACCTTTAAATGGTTGACAAAGAATTCATTTTTAATGGATACCCCTTTGAAAACTCTCTATATTGTCATATTACATTTGAGTAATAATGTAGTAAAACTTAACTGATTGTATGATAATAATAATAATTATTATTACAGTATTATAATAGATAAATTTATATAGCAGAAAAAAGGTCTATATGCACTCAGCGTTTTTTATTGTCATTAATGCTCAAATTTCCAGGTGAAACTATCAACCATCATTGTGCCAATATTCTCTGCAATCACTGAGCTGATCTACTTTGATCCAACTGTGTCACTCACTTCATCCTAATTTATCATCTTTCTTTCTCAGTGAGTCAAAATTGTCCGCCCTTTTATTATACGCCTCAGAAGTACAGCGAGTCC